GTTTGCTGGGCTGGTCATTGCTGTCATTCATTCATAAACTTTACATCAGTGAAGGATCATTTACCCCTTGGCAACTGGATCTTCTGATACTATGAGAGCTGGTCTTTAGAGAGGAGGCTGCCAGGCCAGTTCCTGCTCAGTTGAAAGAGCCTGCCCTCTTAACCTGCTTTAACGTGCTGTTGTTGGAACGCTTTTGCATGACTGTCAATGAGACACAGTTCAGAATTCCTATATAGAGTCTTTATGGTATTATTCTGGTTGGAAACGAGGGGATAAAATACTTGGTTCTTGCTTGAAGAAAATTTTCTTTTCTTAGGTAGGATCTGATGTAGCCTAGGCTGGTCCCCAACTGGATGTGTAGCTGAGGCTGACCTTGAATTCTTGAGTCTCCTGCCTGAGATTATAAGCATAGGCCATCACACCCTGTTTGTGCTGGGGATGGAACTAGTGGATGTTAGGCAAGTACTCTACCAACTGAACACTATTTCCAATCCTGAAGAGATAATTCTATAGCAAGACTTATTTTTACTTAGATCCTACATCTATTTGAGGTGGTTTATTTGAGAAGTTTGAGGGGACAGGGTTGGTGAGCTTCCACACCAATAACATGAATCACATTTCTGGACACTTAGTATCACTTAGTATTTTATCTTTGGTTTTCTGAAGTATGTGTGCTAGAATATTTTACACCTTTAAGCAAGGTAAGTATTATGGACCAACCTAGAGTTACTATTTCCTTCTTGATTTTTAAACTTTCATTCCAATACAATGCAAAATATATAAACTACTATACTACTGTGCCAGTGACTAAGTAATTGTTAGACTAGAGGGAAAGTAAAAGATTCTCATTCATTACAAACTATAATGCGATGTAATTTTTAGTTATTTATTTCTTATGTGCATGTAGAATTTTAAGTCTTGGTGTTGGTCAGGGGGAAAGGGAGCAGAGTGGAGAGGGAGATGAGGGGCAGGGAATGGATGCTAGGGATCAAACCCAGGCCATCCTGCATGCTAGGCAAGCACTCTATCCACTGAGTTACTTCCTCATTCCTTTATTATTTCCTTTGTATGAAACAGTTTTTCTAGAATTGATATTGCACAAGCCAAAAATCTGAGGATTTTTGTTTCTAAGCAAACTTAAGAAGTAGGAAAAACTGTTTAGAGGGATGCATTCCTTTCCCAGTCTTATTCTGAAATACGTTAATTTTTTAATCATTACAGGCTTTAGCTAAGGGTTTATCTCAAATGGATATCAAACTGATGTCCTCTACACACAGTGGGCTCTGGAATTGCACAAAACTGGTCCAATCAATTCCATAGATTTGGATTGCTACTGACAAACAGATTGTCTTTTGTGTGTGTGACAGTACGTAAAACATACTTAGCAAATATCTGGTATAGGATATAATACTGACTATAGCCCTCCTGTTACACATTAGCTCTCTAGCTTTACTCATCTGACGTACCTGTAAATTTGTCCTCTTTGTCCTACAGCATCTCATCCCCAACCTCCCAAATACTGCTATTCTGTTTCTATGTATGTGTATATTTTTTGATTCTACACATAAGTGAAGTATAATTCCTTCTGTCGACTGAGGAGCATAGTACAACACAGTGGAAGTACTTCATAGATGGCAACTGCGGAGTTACTAAGCATAAAATAGTGACTGACGTGGGACGGAAGCATTTAGTTATTCCATCATTTCTTCTCTGTGAATGACAAAAACGTACTGAAAATGTTAAGTGCGTCTCATCTGTGGTCTAAGTGTAATATATTTACAAACCAAAAAACAATTAAGCACATTAAACGTAACAGGACTTTTTTTTCAAAAGTTAAAAAATGTTATATACTGTGCAATTAGCAAAAATGGAGTTTACAGGAAAATGCGGTGACTACGCATGAAGAGGAGGAATTATCTAAATAGTGCTCGGCTGGAGTAAGCGTGACAGAAAATTGTGTCATAGGCAAAAACAGATCCATTCATTCAAGTGTTTGTTGAGCACCTACTACCTGCCAAACAACACCGAAACTACTCACAACCGCTAACTGCGGTCTCGGGGCAGAGCAGGTTTTCCTAGCAGGGTAGCACCTACCTAGACTGGCGCCACGAGCAGGGCTAGGGAAACCACCACCCGGCAAGCCGCCGCCCACCCTTTCCACAAGCCTCCAAAGTCTTAGCAAACTATAAACGCCGAGATAGGAACCGACGGTGTCCCAGTTGGAAACCGAGGTACGGCAAGCAGAGACAAGTTCCGCCCACATGAAAGATGGCTTCTGTAGCGTCAGCTCCCAGTCGCCCGATTCCTTCTTGGGGGTGGAGCCCACAAGACCAGGGAGTGTGTGGTAAGGAGGTGCGTCCTGCTGTCCAGCCGCGCATTCCGCAAGGGTGACGACGGAGGCGATCCCACAAAGACAAACCGACGCTGGTCAGGAAAGAGAGGGGGCAGGGGGCGGGGCCTGCGGCGGGAAGGGGCGGGGCTGCGGCGGGAAGGGGCGGGGCCCGGCGGGAGGGCTGCGGTCGTGGTTCCCGCGTCCCCGGGGCGGCGGAGGCCCTGGCGGCGTCGAGTGGGTGAGTGAGGCTGACGCGTGGAGGCTGCTGTTTGGGGTCAGGCGTATGGGGCTGCTCCTCGGGGCTGAGCTTCTCCCTCTTCCCTGAGTGAAGGCGCCGTGGGGCTTGCAGCCCAGCGACGGGGTCATCGGCCTCGGGCTCCCAGTAGCTGTGGCGCTGAGCAGGGATGGGAACCGGCCTCCGCGCCCGCGGTCCTGGCTGATCCTCCTCTGGGGCCCAGCGGGAACCCGCACGTGCCTCGAGCCAGAGAGAGAAGCCTGGGCCTCGGGGTCCGGCCCGGCTCGCCGCAGCTCCGCGGAGCCCAGCGGGCGACCACCGGGAGCCCCGGCGAGGAGGAAAGCCGGGTGGGACGGAGCGGGCCTGCAGAATTTCAGTACAAGTTGGTGAGGAGTGCTGATGCCCGGTGAATGTGGGCGCAGTACTGGGCAGGGCGTTCTCCCACTCTGTGGGTTTTGACCCGGTTACTTCACAGCTCTGCGGTTACACAGACTTACTAGTGGAAGTAACCATTGTGACTTGGGCATCACTTGCCTGATGGTAATCAGTTGCAGAAAAAAGCGCACTGATTATGTGACAAGACAGGTAAATAAATCCCTGTTCACATTGTTCCCATCCATCACCGGTGGTGTAAAAAATGGGCACACAGTCTGTCTCAGATTAGTTTTACTTTGTAACAAAATTTTTTTTTTTAAAAAGGACTGGAAAATACTTTCAGATAGGATCTTTAGTCAACCTGGAAAACTAACATAATGTGAAAACAGCACAGAAAAAAAGACTATAATATATGGGAAACTAATAATGTGGAATCAGAATATCTGAAATACATTATCCCCTCTTCTGTTCAGAGGATATGTCAGAAGACCCCCCAGTGAAGCCGGAAACCACAGCTGGTACTAGTCTTTAGTACACGGTTGTATACTATACAACCAGATGTTATTTTTCTTTACATGCAGACATCTATGATAAAGTTTAAAAACTAGGTTCAATAAGCGATTAACAATAACTAATAATAGAACTATTATAATAGTGCTGTGATCTTTGTGTTTCAAAATAACTTACTGTACTTTCACCTTTGTTAAGTAAAGCCAGGATCACTTGAATACCAGCACTTAAGTACTTGGACACTTGGTCTGCTAACCAAGAGGACAGCAGAATCACTGATGGCAGATAGCATGTATAGCAAGAATGCGCTGGACTAAAGGAAGAGTCACATCCATGGGGCAGACAGCAGAAGATTTCATCACTCTGCACAGCATGCTGTGCTGTTTCAGGCTTGCAAATTATTTTCTTCTGGAAATTGTCATTTAATATTTTTGGACAAAGATTAATTCTAAGTACCCAAAACTTAAACTGTGGGTAAAGGGAAACTACAGTATTGTGTTACAGAGACACTGTTAGCCAGCACCTCCACTGAAAACTGCCACCCTGGGAAAATTCTGAATCAGTTGGAAATGCCACAAGATGACTATGCTCTTTTTCATATGAAACAAGAGAAGTTACTGATCACACTTAGATTGTACACTAACCAAGCATTTACCTGTTCCAGGAAACAGTTTCATACAACTTGAGTTAATAGTCTGTTTGGCTATGTTAGTCATCCAATATTTACTTCTAGAGAAAGAATGAATGAGTAAATAAGACTATCAAGTCTTCTCTTGAGCCCCAGGTTAATTGGTAATTCCAAGATGGTATGTTAGCCTGCCTGAGAAATTAGAATCTGTGAGAGATGACCCAGTATTGGTATCATGAATGTTCTATCTGAGTCTTGTCCGAACTTGAAAATTTATAAAGTATTACTACAAAGGATCTGGTCTTCCCAGTAGTTCACTGTCTTTACAGTGGTCTTGGTTAGCAGGTCTGACCCTGCTTCTCACTACTGGGAGAAATAAACAGAAAGCATTGTTACGAGAAGTGAGTGCCATTGATGGTCTAATTCTGCTTTGTAGCAGTGGACCAATCAACTTTTAAAATACAGCCTGGCTGTATGGAAACAGAGTCCTACAAGCTCCTGGGAACCTGCTCATATGATTCTATGGCAGTGTTAGCATACACAAGTCCCATGCAAACTCAGGCAGGAATAGCCCAACATAGAACTGGGAAAATGAACACCAGACCTCAATCTTATCTGAAGAAATATTGGCAACTGATTGCTGGTAGATGAAGAAGAGCTAATCTTCCTAAAACAAGGGACTCTAGATAGGCTGACTAGACTTAGTGGACAGACTTGCACTGGGGAATGGCTGGGGACACTGACAACCCATTGGGCCTTAACAGAGATGACCTCGAGTATATGGGCTCCAGGGGGTGTGGGGGGCTACTATGGGAGGGTGCCACTGGGGACAGGGGTATAAAGATGATTAAGGTTAAACGTTCTGTATGAAATACACAAAAAGTTTAAAAAAAAAAAAAACCCAGCCTAGAAAGACGTTGTTGATTTTTTTAAGCGAAGTTTTAAAGGAAAAGAAAAGGCTCAAACCTACCAGTCTGCAAACATTGCTAACATGCTAATTAACATAATCATGCTGTATAATATTTTGGAAGTATTGGGTAAACCCTCATGAACACTGTGCTTTGTTTATAGGAGTGGCAAGCCACCATCTCACCCAATTTGGATCCTGGCTTCCCTCCAAAGACTGGCTAATATTCGATTACCTTCCAGAGTAGCCAGCACTATATGGACATGAGATACAGGGATGAAAGTTTATTCGTTTTAAACTAATTTTTTTGCCACATATTTACATAGGTTTTCCTCACCAAAGATAACTTCAAGTGTAAGTAAAATCTTCAGCTTGTGTAATTGTGCTTGTCTGTAATATTTTATTTCTGGAGTTACAGTAATTTCTTCTTACTTCAATTACTTACATTCAACCACAGCCTGAAAATAATAAATACTAAATTCCCAAATTAACATCTTCTAAGTTTTAAACTGCATACCATTCTGAATAACATGGGACTGTCTTGCAGCTTTCTGTTCTGTCCCACCCAGGATGTGAATAATTTCTTTGTCCAGTGTATCCACATTGTTTGCACAATCTGCTTATTAGTCCTGAACTAGTCATCTGAGTTACAAGATTGGCATGGATTTAAGTAAACCCATTTTACTTAATTCAGGCCTCAAAGCATGGGGGTAGTGATATAAGCATCACTAAAGTTCTCAGCATATAAGGGGGAAAAAAACCTATGCTGTGTTGCTAAATTTATGGTAAGAATCTTCTGTGAAAAAGAAAGTAAAAAATTCTACTAGTCTTGCTGTTGTGCCACAGTGCATGGTAAACGTTTAATTAAGACGGAAACGCCATTAAATCTGTGGGTGGAAGACATAATCAGAAAACACATCTCGATCGTTGACAGCATGTTCTCCTAAAGCATTAAATGTGTTCAAGGCTTTCAGCAAAAGTTCTTCTGAAATGCTTGATGTCAAGCCATTTACAGGTGATTAAAAGATTCAGAAATCTATGTGGACTGGAAAATGCAAAACTTCATAGAGAAGCTGCAAGTCAAGTTCGTGAAGGACTTGCTAGCATGCCTGATGGAAAAGTGGAGATGTCCTGAAGGCTCCTGAGAAGTTAACAAATGAGGAATTAGAACCTGTCACCATCTACAGAGAGAGGAAGGGGAAGCTGAAACCAGACCTGCCGTACGGACATCAAGATTTGGTGAAGTGTGTGAAACTGCATAGGCATTAAAGGACAAGTTATGGAATGCAGTCCTCAGAGAGAGCACAGTATTGAAGCCACCTGAAGGATATCTTTTCTGCAGCAGCTCTGGATGAGTTAGAGAGACAGTAACTTCCAAATAAAATGTTCTTCCAAAAGATCTTGCCAGAAAACCTTTCAACTGTGGAGACTCGTGAATCATCAGTATTTCCTCCTGATCTGGCTACCAGTGTTGCCATACCTCAGTGATCCAGGATCACTTGAGACAGATGATCTTCCTCAGAAGAGCAGCAGTAGCCTAGGCGACCTCAGGGCCTCTGTCCTTCACTTCATCATATCATGTGGTCTGTACCATATGGTCAGTGCGATGTGGTCTGTATCGTGTGGTCTGTACTATCTCCATCATCCCAGAAAGATGAGTGAGTGAGTACAATCAGATATTTCAGAAAAGCCTGGTGTAGTACACGCCTTTCATCCCAGCACTCAGGAGGCAGAGTTAGATGGATCTTTTGAGTTTGAGTCTAGCCTGGTCTGCGTAGCAAGTTCCAGGTCAGCGAGGGCTACATAGTGAGACTGTCTCAACAAACAGGATATTTCAGAAAGACTCCACATTTATATAACTCATTATTATTCTGACACATTATTTTAGTATTGTTAATCTCTTTGTGCCTAATTGTAAAATACACCTTATAATAGGTAATGTGTAAAGAAAAGAATAGCATCCATATATAGCTTGACACTGCAGTTTTAGCATCCAGTGGGGGTCTCAGAATGTATCCCCTGAGGGTAGGAGGCAACTACTGTATTTCTTTTGGCAACATTTGAAGCTAAGCAATCCAACATGATCCTTACTCCGTTTTCTTTCTAATTAAGAGCGAAGCTAAGGGGCTGGAGAGATGGCTCAGAGGTTAAGAACACTGGTTGTTCTTGCAGAAGACCCGATTCAAATCCTAGCACCCACATGGCAGCTAAGAGCTGTCCGTAACTCCAGTCCCAGGGGATCCGACAGCCTCTTCTGACCTCCGCGGGCATTGCACAACACGGGTGCACTTACCTACATGCAGACAATACACACGTACACATAAAAATAATAAATAATAAAAAAAATTTTTTTAAAGAGTGAAGCTAAATAAAATTAATGGCATTTAATAGTTTAATTTTTGTAGTCAGGTAAAAAGTTTTCTCATAACTCAAGCAGATTTTGTAAGGCTTCAATACTGTTTTGATAAGTGCTTTTCAATATAGTGATGGAATATTTAGACTGTAATGTTGCCTTTAAAATTAATCACCTTTTCATTCAAAAAGAAAGAGTAAAAAAGAAATCTGTTTTCAATATAATTTTGTGGTTGGGTGCTCACTTATTTGTCACCTTGGCCCCCAATTTCCTAATGTCCGCTAGAACAGTAGCATCATTACACTTTCAATTCAAAGATGAACTTTTAAAATTGTTTCCAAAAATCAATATTTTAAACAAACTGTACAGCTTATATGTGCAATGGTCCCTTCAGACTACTAAGTTGACATATTAAAAGGTAAATAGTACCTAAGTGAATTTCCGAAATTAAAAATGAACTTTGAAAAACTGTCTTCGTGTTAAATTATTCCTGCCCATACTTAGAGTTAAGTGTTTTGCCAAGCTCTGCGTGCCTAATCACAATGATAAAAATATCCACTTAACATTTTAAAAATAGAAATTACTCCTTTGCATGACTCTAAACTCTCTTGATAAACTATAGATAATTTTTAATTTCATTTATTATTATTACTGTTGTCTGTGTATGCACACGTCACCACACCTATGTAGCAGTCTAAGGACAAATTGTGGGAATCCGTTCTGTCCTTGTACTATGTGGGTCCCCGTAATTGAACACAGGTCATGAGGCATGAAGGCAAGTGTCTTTACTGTTCAGCCATCTTCCCCAGTAGATAAACTTTTTTTTTTAATAACCACATGATTAGAAGAAACATTCCTTTACAGCTTTAACATATTCAATAACAATTTCCAGAGCAAAGATACATCTCTTTCAAAAGTGGCTGTAAATTTTTAGGTTCACAGTTGAATTAATACAGTTATACAGTATTGAACTCAGTATAAACCCTGTAAGATATAAAATTGGATAAGTTTTTAACCTTTAAAAAAGATCTTCATTTTATTTTTAAAAATACTGTTTCCTACAGAAAGACTTTTCTTTTTTTTTTTTTTTTTTTGGTCATTTTGAGACAGGGTCTCCCTGTAGCCCCAGCTGTTGTCCTGGAACTCACTATGTAGACCAGGCTGGCCATGTACTCACAGAGATCCGCCTGCCTCTGCCTCCCAAGTGCTGGGACTACAGGCGTGTGCCACCACGCCCGGCTAAAAAGACTTTTTAATGCTACTAACACTTAGATGTTTGCACATGCGTCTCTAATCTCTATGTATCTGATTATTACTAGTCACAGTCAGTTACACTTGGATCCTTGGCACCTGAGTATGAATATAAAGTCATCAGGTAGATTTTAATGGTACTCTTTATTACTTCTACTACTTAACATGAAGTAAATTTTTATGCTTCCTCTTCAAATATAACTTTGATTTTTTGTGTGTGTGTATATCATACAAAACATCCCAAAAAATCTTACCTATATACCAACTTCGCAAATGGCACCCTCCCATAGATACACTTTTTAAGTAAAGTGTTTTACATGGACATGCATGTTATAGATCGAGTATTCACTTCTAAAGCAATCCTGCAGGCAGAGATAGGTAGAGTGTAGATTAACGATTCACTTCCTCAAGTGCTGTGATGTATATAGATGCCACAATTTTGCTTTTTTTTTTCACTTTAAATCTTTGATTACAAGTCTTTGATTAGGGTATTTGCAAGAATGATTCATACAAATAGTGCTTAGCATTTATCCCTTGAAAGCAATACTTTTAGTGGATGAAAATAAACAAGTGGAGCCCTGGGTTTTAACTTAGCCATAAGCTTGTTTGTTCTTCTCTCGGTGTCTTATGTTCTACCTGCCCTAAACTGAAGCCTTTTTATTGTAGTAACTTAGTGTAGAACTCTCTTGGCAATGATAAAATGCTATCCTAGCCTCTTGACTGACACCGTTAGTGTATTTCCCTTGTCTTCCTGTTTTGGTATCATTTGAAGCAGTGATGTTGGACTTCCATATACCAATACCCAGAGCTCATGGGGGTGACGGGACTCTTCACTCTGTTGCTGCTGTTGTGTACGTCATGTCGCTCTAGCAGCCTTAAGGCATTTCTGCTGCTGTTTAATTCCTTTTCTAGGAACACCGGAAGAAAAGACACAGAGTGATGTAAACCAGCAGCAGTTTGTGCTCTCACAGTTCTAAAGGCTATAAGCCCAATACCGTATCGAGTGATTGTGGCCTCTAGGGAAGCCTCCTTGACTCCACTTCTTGGTGGCCAGGAGTCCTCGCCTTCTAGATGCATCATTCCAGGTTCTGCCTTTTGTCTTCAAGTGGCTTTCCTTTCGTGTCTGTTCACACTCCCCACCCCCTTTTTGCCGCAGCAGGCATTGGATCAGGACCCATTCTAACCTAGTATGGCCCCATCTTAACCTAACTAAACCCATTTGTAAGGTCACATTCACACACACAGTAAGGGTCTGATCATATCTTTGGGGGGAAAACAGTTCAGCCCAAGTGTCACCATCTCTAGCTGAGCCTTCCTCTTCCTGTTTTGTTGTTTTTCAGCTGCAATGTTTTGGGGACTAAGTATTCAGTCATATTAGAATACTGCATAGGCCTCATTTTAGAATACTGCATAGGCTAGGTATTTGGGAACAGTGAGGACTAGTTTTTAGTATGTAGCATTTTCCTAAGTTGTTTGAGGTTTGGATGGCTTTCTTTAAAATTGCTGATGCTAATTCCTAGTTGTCTGTGTCCCTGTTTAGATATCTGGAGCGTTTGGATAATGTGAGAGTTGGGATGCAGTGATGTCGACTATCTGCCCACCACCATCTCCAGCTGTTGCCAAGACAGAGATTGCCTTAAGTGGCGAATCACCTTTGTTAGCAGCTACCTTTGCTTACTGGGACAATATTCTTGGTCCTAGAGTAAGGCACATTTGGGCTCCAAAGACAGAGCAAGTACTTCTCAGTGATGGAGAAATAACTTTTCTTGCCAACCACACCCTAAATGGAGAAATTCTTCGGAATGCAGAGAGTGGGGCTATAGATGTAAAGTTTTTTGTTTTATCTGAAAAAGGAGTAATTATCGTGTCATTAATCTTCGATGGAAACTGGAATGGAGATCGAAGTACTTACGGACTGTCAATCATACTTCCACAGACAGAGCTTAGTTTCTACCTCCCCCTTCATAGAGCATGTGTTGACAGGCTAACACACGTTATTCGGAAAGGGAGGATATGGATGCATAAGGTGAGAGCGTTTTGAGCTCATTCCCGCTAATCTGGCCTCCCTGACATATTTAAGTTTTAAAACATTCTAGAATTTAAATTTAGTTAAAAAATTTTTAACTTAAATTTAGGGTTTAGAAATTATATGCAATTAGCTTCAGACAGCAACTGTTACTTTGTGTCTACTAGCTACAGACCTGGTCCCATGAAGGTAAACTTCTAAGACAAGATAGTAGTTGTGTAGTATAAGTGAGCAGTTGAAGCTTAGCAAAATTAAGAGATATTTGGGTCTGAATTTATTTTGAAAGATTTCACTCTAAATCCTTTTTATTTTTCTTTTACTGTGTGACCTTGTCTTTTACTTACTACTGTTCATAAGTATAAAAGTTCAGTACTTGATTCACAATCTGTCAGCCCAGTAGTCTTTGGTAACTTTAAATTTCTTCACCAAATTCTCAATTTTGTTAAATGAAGAGGATGGGCCAAATGGGATCTAGGTGTTTTGTTTTGTTTTTTTTTTTCTTTCAATTTGCAAATTTAGCTAAAGGAAATACTGTTTTCTCCTGATATTTATATTTCAGTATACTTGTGGCATATCTAAAGAGCAAATTTAATTCTTCCTATTTTCTGATTTAATACCAACCTGAAAGTCTACGTTATAAGAGAAAAGAGCATCTTTTAAAAGAATCGTTTTTTTTTTTTTCTCTCTCTATTTTCAGGCTTAACCTCTTTATTTCTCACATACTTAATGAAAATCATTTAGATTCAATAAACTTACCTGGGGGTTGGTAGCACAGGCCTGTAATACCAGTCCTCAAGGAGGCTGAAGCAAGAGGATTTGAGTTCAGGGTCAACTTGAGCTAAAAAGGACCTCCAAGTGAGACCCTGCCTCCAAAGGAAACAACTAGAACAAAAGGGTCTGTAAACCTCACATGCAAGTTGATGTTGCTTAATTTGGAAAGTCCGTCATTATTTTCCTTTTGAAACTGTGGGTGATGTTGGCGATTTTCTGCTAAATTGCCTCCTTTACTGCAGAGTAAAGGTTGTTTTGATTTGATCTACTGTTGTATAGGAAAGCATGGGTTTGTTAGCTTAATTTCTTGTCTTTATCTTTTTTCCCCCACCTGCAGTAGAAAGTATTTTTCTTATCAACTAAATGATGCCAGAACATACTTATATTGAGAAATGAGCAAGTATCATTTTTAATATTTTCTTTTCCTTAGGAAAGACAAGAAAATGTCCAGAAAATTGTTTTAGAAGGCACAGAGAGAATGGAAGATCAGGTAAGTGCAGATCACGTGTTGTCAAATACCATCTTTCCACCACATCGGTGTGTGTGTGTGTGTGTGTGTGTGTGTGTGTGTACATATGGCTGGTGGCTGCTTTTGTTAGGGCTTGAAGATGTGTTCATTTGACAGGAAGAACCTGAAAATGAACAGTCTTTATGAAGGCATATAGAATAAACTAAATAAAAATTTCTGTAGCCTAAATCTGAAGAATTAAATAAAGGAAAATGGTAATTTCATCTACAAATTAATACTTTGCTCTCCTGTTACAATTTGCAAAGAATAAGGTTGTGTTCATTTACTCAGAAAGAAGATGTTACATCCATATGATTCTTTTAAAACTGCTTCTGAAACTATTTTGTAGAGGGAACTGTAATGAGGAACACAAGCTTGCCCTTGAACTTCCCTCTGAGTGACAGGAACAGCTGTAAGCACATTTCTTTAAAGTCTGACTTATTTTTAAAACTTGGCACTTTACCTTTTATTCCATGGTTCAGTGTTAAAATCTGCCAGGAGCCGGGCATGGTGGCACATGCTTTTAGTTCCAGCACTCAGGAGGCAGAGGCAGGTGGCTCTCTGAGTTTGAGGCCAGCCTTGTCTACATAGTGAGTTACAGGCAAGGTGGAACTGCAGGGAGACCCTGTCTCAAAAAGACCAAAATCCTGCCAGGAATCTTCTTTATCCTCTTGCCCATTAGGCATCTAGTAGTGTTGACTGTAGGAAAAGCCTGAAGGCCCTCAGGGACTAGATAGTAGCGTCTGGGAAGCACAATGGCAATGAAAAGGCTTCCCAGGTAGAAATTAAGTGCACACCATTGCAGGGCAGCGCAGAGAATTTCCTCTGGAGGGGCCGTTCAGCAGAGGGGACGCTCCAGTGGGAAAGTAGCTTTCCAGACCACATGAAGTAATTCAGGGACATTGCCTGACTGTGGCGTGAGAGTTAAGAGCCTAGGCTGCTCGCTTATCAGTATGTGTTGAGTCATTTCAGCACAAGGGCATTAGGACCAAATAAATTCTGCTTTTAGTGGGATTTTTAAAATATTTTCTTTAAGTGTAAGACTGTTTTGCCTGCATGTATGTAAGTGCACCACATGAGTGCAGTGCCTGTGGAGACCAGAAGAGGGTGTCAGGTCTCCCGGAACCGGCGTTAACAATGGTTGTTAGCCACCATGTGGGTGCTGGGAACCAAACCCCAGTCCTCTACAAGAGCAGCCAGTGCTCTTAACTGCTGAGCCCTCTCTCCAGCCCTGAATTTTATGTTTTCAAATCAGAAACCTATACCTGCCTGTACACTTTTTAGGGCTCTTCTTTAAAAAGTCATCTTCACCTTCTATATCAAGAGGAAAGTATACTTAGGTTAAGCTAAAGATGTTAAATGGAAGCATTGTCCTGTAGGAGGAGTTCAAGTTAGAGAAATACAAGGAAAAAAAAAAGCCTGGGAGATTTTCTTCTAAAGCTTCTTCTGTATTTATTTATCCTTGTAAAAGTTTTTTGTTGAACTCCAGTGAGACTGTTCATTCACTCACAGGGAGGATAATGTCTGGGATCTCACATCCAAAATATTATATGAGCCTAAACCTGAGGGGGCATAAAATGAGCCCTTTCTGAAAAGGACAGTGCTTTCTCTTGGGCCTTTGTGTATCCCATCATGCACTTCTGCCAGCTTTATTGTAAACAGCCGCACTGCTTTGGGACTTGCTCTAAAACTTGTCACTGCTAGTTTTGGATGCTTATAATTGTTGTCTGACAGAATCACTTACTAAGGAAGGAAACTGTAGATTTTCGTTATTCTTGTTGGAGTGCATGAGTTCATTGTATTTGTAAACAAACATTTCAAGGATTACTTTAAAAAGCAGAAATGGCCAGGCATGGTGGTGCCTGTAGTCCTAGCGCTCGGGAGGCAGAGGCAGGCGGATCTCTGAGTTCAAGGCCAGCCTGGTCTACATAGTGAGTTCCAGGACAGCTGGGGCTACAGGGGAACCCTGTCTCAAAATGACCAAAAAAGAAAAAGAAAAGCAGAAATGGGCTGGAGAGATGGTTCAATTGTTAAGAGCACCTGCTGCTCTTCCAGAGGACCCCAGTGTGGTTCCCCAGCACCCACATTAGGCAGGTCACAACTCTTTTGTAACTACGGCTCCAAGGAAGTGCCCTCTTCTGGCCTTGACACATGTACACATATAGTGTTCACTCACACAGATAGAAGCACACACACATAAATAAAAAGTTTTAAAAGGGGGAAAATAATAAATGAATAAATAAATAGAAAGCCAAAGCAATGAAAGATTAGTGCTAGAGGTTATTACTACAAGATGAATCCAAATAATAAAAAGGTCTGTATCTGCACAGGGATTTATATCTTAAGATAAATTCCCCAAAGGAAGCAACGTGCATGATAAGGGGCTTTGAGAAAGCCCGTTAAGTTAGTTTTAAAAGTGAATTTAATTTTTAATATTTTTTTTGTATGTGTGTGGGGGGGGTTGCTAGGGATTAGACCTAGGGCCTCCCACATGGTAGGTAAGTGTTCTGTCATTGGGCAGCATGTATCCTCAACCCTTAAATTGAAGTTCTAATTTTAAATATATTTGAAGAGTTTAAATAAAATCATTTCATGAAATCTAAGTAAGTAAAGAAGAGTTACTGAACTGAATTTAGGTGATAGGTAATTTTTAAAAGCTGTATATTTTTGTGAATTTCATATATAAGTACTATATTTACATCATTTCTATCCCTCCATCTTCCCTTCCAATTCTTTCAAGATCCCCCTCACTATCAATTTCTTGTCCTCTTATTATTATTATTTATACATACACATATTTTATATATATACATATATATATACATATGCACATATATAATGCACTGGGTCTATTTAATACTGCTGGTGTATATGTGTGTTTAGGGCCAAGCACTTGGGATTAGATAACATCAGGGAGCTAATGTCTGGAGAAAACTGATTTTCCTTCCCTTACAATCCATTGATTGCTTATAGCTCTTCATCTGGAGGTGGGATGCAGAGAAATTTCCTGATCCAACTGGTAGTGTCATTATTCAGGTCTTGTTTAGGCGGCAGTGTTTTTGAGATTTCATGAGCACAGCTTCCTTGTCCTGTCTAGAGTATACTGTCTGTCAGCGGGCATCCTTGTCCTCTGGTTCTTACAGACGTTCCACCTCCTTTTTCCAGGGTGTTCCCTGAGCCTTAGGTGCAAGGGTTCCAGTTGGTGCTAGGCACCATATGGTGACTTATTTTCTGCATTTTGATCAGTTCTGGAACTTTGTAATTAGTCTCCATTTGTTACAAAAAGAAGTTTCTTTGATGAATGGTAAGAACTACACATATCAGTGACTAAGGATAGGTATTTAAAATATAGTAAGATGCTGCATTGGTTTAGGAAAGTGACAACAGTAGGTTCTCCTCTAGGGTCCGTGGCCCCTCCAGCCAGGGGTACTTGGCTATGTTTACAGTACCAGGAGTGGATTCCTTCCTATTGCATGATCTTAAGTCTTGTTAAACAGCTGTTGACTCCCCCATTTCCCCAAAATACAAGTGCCCTGTTGCACCAGTAGAGACTTCACTGGGCTGGTCGTTGCTGTGGTTCGTAGACTTTGCAGCTGGGTATGACAATTGATTGCTTTTCTCTCTTGGCAGCTTGCATAGCACCTTCCAATACTGCAATATGTAGTGTTAAAATACATTTAGTTCGGGGCTGCAGAAATGGCCCAGTGCTTGAGAGCATTGGCTTCTCTTCTGTTCCCAGCACCCATGTGACAGCTAACAGCCTTCTGTAACTCCGTTCCCAGGGATCCAGTGCTCTCTTCTGGCCTCCATGGGCTTTACATGACACAGGTACACTTATATACATGCAGGCAAAATGCTTATACACATAAAATAAAAATAAATTTAAAAAAATTAAATGTTGGGCCTGGAGAGATGGCTCAGTGGTTAAGAGCACTGCTGTTCTTGCAGAGGACCCAGGCTTGATTCCCACCTGCACAGCATTGCATGACATGGATGTACTCACATACATGCAGGCAATACACTCATATACATATAATAAAAATAATAAATAAATTTTTTTAATTCAATGTCTTAAGCTAAAGATTAATAGACACTTAATAATTTCAACATCTCATTTGGGCTGATCATAAGCTGATGGGGGATGCTGGTAGTGAATAAATAAAGTGTCATAGTCAGACACCACATTTATGCTATAAATTTGATTCCAGAAAATACACATTTCAAAGTTAAATTTGGAAATGTGGTAAATAGTAATACTACCTTGAAAGATCTCCAAAGGTGACTCATCTGTCTTACTAATTCTTAGTTTGTGTGATGATTTTGCTGTGTGTTTGGGTAGTTTATATCCCATTTTGAATGTGAAGGTTGGGTATTGAGAGGAGCCTCACTGGTGAATTACTTTCTAAGGATTTCAAAGTCTTCATGCCTGACTTACCTCATTTTTAAAATAAGCATAATGATGATGCCTCACAGACATGGCCACTCCAGTGGAGGAAATTCCTCAGTTGAGGTTCCCTCTTCAGGTGTGTCAAGGTGACAACTGATGCCAGCACACCAAGGATTTCCATCACAGGGAGTTATTCTTTGCCTCCATTTGAAATGTTCTTATTGCCTGGCTTGTCCCATCTTGGTGGTTTTCTCACTTTGTTCTGCTCTTTTCACAGGGTCAGAGTATCATTCCCATGCTCACGGGGGAGGTCATTCCTGTAATGGAGCTGCTCTCATCTATGAAGTCTCACAGCGTTCCTGAGGAAATAGATGTAAGAGCTGTGGAGGCATTCGTGCCTTCATTAATTCCCCAGAGTTATTCTATTTTGTTTATTAGTGATATTTTTGTAGTATGTATTTTATAATACTATTCATAAGAAGGGTTAGCCTAGGGGCTGGACAGATGGCTCAGCAGTTAAGAACACTTGGTTGTTCTTACAGAAGACCTGGTTCGAATCCCAGCACCCACATGGCAGCTAACAACTGTCTGTAACTCCAGTCCCAGGGGATCCAGCAGCCTCTTCTGACCTCCACGGGCACTGCACAACATGGGTGTACTTACCTACATGCAGGCAGTACATGAATACACATAAAAAGAATAAATTAAAAAAAAAAAAAAAGGATTAGCCTCAAACAAGGAAGCATACATAAAATCCTGAATTTTCTGACCAAACAAGATTTTCTTTTTTATTAAAATGTATTCTGATTTAAGAAAAATTAGTTTGTTTCACTTCTTCTCCACTTCTGTTATTTCCTAAAATTGGGCAAGTCCGGACTGTATAGAAACAGTTAATATTGAATGGAATAGGTTTTGAAACAAAGAAATAAAAGAATATACAAATTAGGGCTGTCAGTGGAAGTCTTATTTCATTCACTAATTTCATTTCCTTGATCATTTGTTAAAGGCATTTAAATCACACATTTTGTAGGTATAGAGCTATCTTTAGGCACTATTCTTTTTTCTTTTTTTTTGAGACAGGGTCTCCCTGAAGCCCCAGCTGGCCTGGAACTTGCTATGTAGACTAGGCTGGCCTCCAACTCACATCCGCCTGTCTTTAGGCACCATTCTTAATGCTGACTTTGGCATTATCCTTGGTCTCCTGAGTTTGATAGCTCAGAAGAGGAAGTCGTAAAAATGGTTGTTCAACCTGCCTGACCACCTTCTCCTTTGTTCTGAAGAGGTTATGGTGTAATGCACAGCATTGTTTTATGGGTATCCTTGATGCTCAGAAATGAGAGTGGTGTATCATACTGAATCTAGACCTCAACACTCATTGTTACATGGTCTTTCAGCACTGTGTTATAGGCAGACTTAATTTTTTTTTGGTATCTTTTAGATAGCTGATACAGTACTCAATGATGACGACATCGGCGACAGTTGTCACGAAGGCTTTCTTCTTAAGTAAGAATTTTGTCTTTTTCTGAAAGCTGAGTAAACACATACAGAGCTTATGCTCACCTATGACAAGATCTTGAAGGAAAAAGATAACAAAATCCCTGTGTACTCAGGTTATATAGGGATAGCACTGCGTATTTCAACAGATGCTTGCATGCATGTTGTTTTTCACCCATACATGGTAGAGCTGATGTTGCTCCTTTACTTTTAAAGAAGCTGAGTTTCTAGTGCCCAGAGCAGTTTTTGTCTTCTGGCTCAGGTTTCTTCTTGTGTTTCGCATTAAAGCTAACCCTACAAAACCTATCAAATTGAGTTACAGTGTAGACTTGTGTAAATTCTTTAGGTGTAGAAATTGAAATCCTTCATATTTTGTGCTGATATTTTCCATCTAACTGTGGAATTTAGTACTTAAGAGTGTGGGCTCTAGAATCAGTTACAGCTGTGTAACCCTGGGCACTACTTTCCAAAGCTGCCCTACCCCAAGTCTTTATCTGTAAAATGGGAGTAACGGTAGTGCCTATTTTGTAGGATTGTTGCATTGTGTGTCTAGCACATGTAGTCACTTAGTGGCCAATAGCTAGCTTTTTCTATTCATGTTTCTTCTAAAAAATATGAGCAATGGTAACCTGAATAGAATATCCAGTATTCATTGAGTGCCTATGTGTTAGTCTAGTGTTCTCCAAGTATACCTCCTCTCCTAGTCTAGCATTCCTTTACACTTGCACATAACCATGAGCTTTTGTTTGTAAAAATGAAAAGTGAAAGAATAAATGCTTCCTTCTTTGTCTGAATTCTTTTCCTTGAGGCTCTTAATGAAATGTCAGGTGTGAGAAATGGTTAACCTGAAGTCTTAATGGTGTGAATCAGAAGCATTTTAGTCTGCTGATGTCTGCTGTTCATACATTGTTTTCAATTCCTTGTCTTTAAATAAATTACTATAAAAATAATGAGATTTTACTAACTGGGTTGTCTTAAGACTCAAATAAAGCCGTATATAGTGGCATGCACCTTTAATCCCAGTACTCAGGAGGCAGAGGCAGGCAGATCTCTGTGAGATTGAGGCCAGCCTGGTCTACATAAGTTCCAGGCCAGCTGGGGCTACCAGGAGACCCTATCTCAAAAGGCCAAAAAAAAAACAACAAACAAACTCAAATAACAGAATGTCTGTGGAAGGTCCCTAGAACATACAGTTTTATGCAAAAAGAGAAAACGTCCTGATAGCTTTGGTGTTTATCAGTGACACTCTTTTGAGTTGTTGGAAGCTCACTTACTCTCTAAGTTTGTGAAATTGTTTTCCACCCAGTGTGTTCAGTCTGTTTTCTTCAACCTGCAGTGCCATCAGCTCACACTTGCAGACCTGTGGCTGTTCTGTTGTAGTGGGCAGCAGTGCGGAGAAAGTAAATAAGGTAATTCATTTTACAGTCCAATGTGATCTGACTGCTGATATGCTAGTGTATCTTGAATTATCATTGAAATGTTGGGTTGCAATTGAAATGGCCTAATATAAGGAGGCAATGTAACTTTACCAAATTGTTCTGACATCTTCTGGCAAAAATGACTGTAATAAACTGAATAAGAATTCAGTTACCACTTTCATTTTGATAACTGATGACTCCCAGTTGCATGTAAAATGTTTTGAGAAAAAATTTTAGATGAGATATTAAAATTTTTTTTCTTCTATATCCCAGTTTTTTTTTTAATCTGAGTTCACCTATTAAACAAATTTTATTGAATATGTGGGGCAATAGGAAACGATATTAGTGAATATAACTGTGAGGTAGAGTGGATATACATGACTTTAGAGTAAAACAAATATTTGAGCGAGGCACAATGGTGCATGACTTTAATCTCAGCCAGAGCTACATAGTGAGGCTCTATCTCAACAAAAACAGTCCAAACCAAATAACAAACAGCATAACCTCACAGCTATTTCAGAGTAGCAGAAGGTAAAGCTCTGGCTGACCTAGAATTTGCTTATAGTCTGTGCTGGCCTCAAACAGAGATGCCCCTGCCTCTGCTTCCCAAGTGCTGAGATTAAAGGTGTGTACCATCATGCCTGGCTCAAATATTCTACTAGGTTATTATTTCTAACTGAAATAAATATTTCACGGTCAAATAACGGAGATCGACCAAGCATTACACCTTCCGTTCAGAGGAGAGCAGTTCTCTCTGTTCAGATGTAGCAGATGCTGACATACCTGCAGCTGAGCACTATTTCCTGAACTTAATTGTCACAATATCTCTTTCTAAGTTTAAGTCAGTGTTACATCCAGTGGACTGTTGTACATAACCAAGGAATGCTTGTTACTCAGGAAGTATTTTGGGGACAGCAACATAAATTTCTTTCATAAGCAAACAAGGGGCTTTTTACTTCACATTTCAATGCTCAAATCTTTTTTTCCCTAGATAGTGAGAACTCTGTGCCTTTTTCTGACTCCAGCAGAGAGAAAATGCTCCAGGCTGTGTGAAACAGAATCATCCTTTAAATACGAATCAGGGCTCTTTGTCCAAGGCCTGCTAAAGGTATACTTGTCATTTATCCTAAGTGAGACTTATTGTTAAAATAATACTTGAGAGTCTTTGTAAAGTGCATTAAATATTAGTATTTCATGTATCTTGTTTTTTATATGTTCAGGGATTGACTTCTTTTACATCATTCTAAACATGGAGTATATGTTCTGTGGATTTATATTTCACCATGAAACACCTTGAAATACTGTTTATTTTCTACATGGTTCCCTCAGGCTGTGTGTGTCTAGCCTCAATATTTTCTTTAAATACATGCTTGAATTAGCTTTGGCACCTCTAAAATGGCACTGTTCTTTTTTTTTTTTAACTGGAGATTTGAATTTTTTTTTTTTTAATGTGTATGAGTGTATTGCCTGTATGTATCTAAGTGCATCCCTGTCATGCAGTGCCTACGAAGGTCAGAAGAGGGCATCAGATCTCCTGGAACTGGAATTACAAATGGTTGTTAGACACCATTTGGGTGCTAGGAATCAACCTGGGTCCTCTGCAAGAGCAGTCAGTGCTCTTAACCACTGAGCTATCTCTCCAGCCTACCCCCCCCTTAAAAAAATTTTTTTTGAGGTTTGAATTTCCATATGACAATTTTGTAGTTATATATCATATTCATTTAGTTTTTAAAGTATAGGAAAAATGTGTTTGTACATATATTTAAAATTTTTATTTTTAATTGAGTTTACTTTTCAGAAGCAAAACAGGTAAATGCAAATTAGCAATTAAAAAAAATAATTTCAGCCAAGCATGGTGGCGCACACCTTTAATCCCAGCACTCAGGAGGCAGAGGCAGGCAGATCTCTGTGAGTTCGAGGCCAGCCTGGTCTACATAGTGAGTTCCAGGACAGCTGGGGCTACAGGGAGACCCTGTCTCAAAAAGACAAAAAAATAATAATAATAATTTGATGAAAACAATTTTTCCTGGCAAGCTCTGGGTTTGATTGAAAAATGAAAAACCCTATCTCAAAAGGAATAAGACTTGGTGGTTAAGAGCACTTGTTACTCTTACAGAAGATACAGGTTTGGTTCCCAGAACCCACATCATGGCTAACAGCCATACACTAGTTCTATGGGAGCTGACGCCCTCTTCTGTCCTTCACGGGCATTGCACATATATAGTGCACTTAGGTACATGCAGGCAAAACACTCATGCACATAAAATAAAAATAAATAAATAAATAATTTTAGTTTTATGAAAAAGAACAAGGTACCAGAATAATCAAGGAAAATTCCTGACATCAGCCTCAAGCCTCCACACGCATGTGCATACATATACAGCTGGTGACACTATTGGGAGGTGGTGGAAACTTGGAGCATTGTAACCTCGTTGGAGGAAATAAGTCATTGGAGGTGTGCCCTTAAAAGGCTAGTTTGGGAACTGGCCTGCACTCTCACCTCTGTCCATCCAGGGTGCCATAAGGTGAGCAGCTTTGCTTCATCCTGTGCTCCTGGCCTCGTGGGCCCAAAGTAAGGGGCCTGAAACTGTGTGTCAAAAGAAGTCTTTCTTTGTTCAGTTGATTTCCTCAGGTATTTTATCACAGTGACAGAAAGCTGATTAACACAGACCCCGAGAAAACAAAGCATTCTTAAGCAAAAAGAACAAAGCTGGTAGCATAATACCCGACTTCCAGACACACTGCACACCAGTGGGACAGAGTCAAAATACGGCAGAAATCCTGTTAGAGTTCACTGATTTTTGGCAGTTGCACCAGAAAAAAGACGGTCTCTTTCATGAGTGCTTCTGGGAAAACTGGACGTCCTGTGTGGAGGAATGAAAGCAGATTGCCTGCTTACCGCACACAAGTCAGAGTGGATCAGATCCTGAAACCTGAGACTCCAGACATGAAACTATCAAAGAACATGTATGAGAAATACTTAGGGACATTGATCCAGGCAGCTTTCTAAAAAAATAAAGCTCTAAAAGCATAAGGAATAAAACCAAAAATTGATAGTGAGGTTACATTAAACTAAAAAGCTTTTACACAAGAAAACAGTCAATAGTGAATGAAAAGACAGCATACAGAAAGGGGGACTATATTTGTGAATAGTTTATCAGATGGGTTCATATACCATCGCAACAGAAGAAAAAGACGGGGATCTGATTTTAAAATGACCAAAGAGACGTCTAAAAAATATGAAAATGACTAGCAAATATATGAAACCATGCTGTCCACCACTACTAAGGAAACTCCAATTAGAACCACAGTAAGATATTATCTTGCTCCATTTAGATGCATGTAATAAAAAAAAAAAGACAAAACATAACAAGAACAATACTTTCAAGAACTATGGTGGAAGGAGAGCTATCACACATTGTTGATGAGAATGTAAATTACTAGTTTACAATTATGGAAAACAGTATGGGGTTCTTAAAATAGTAGTAGTAGTGTATGCACCTGGAATACACAGGACCATGGTTCAACCCCTAGCACTGCAACAGACAGAGCTGGCATGATTCAGCTGTCCCACTAAATCAGATCCCTGCTTTTTTTTTTTCTGTTGAGATACTTACATTAACCCATCTGATACATCATTCACAAATATTTTCTCCCATTCTATAGGTTGTCTCTTCGCTCAGTGTACTAAAACCAACATGTGGGTAAAACACCTGCTGTTTTGTTGTTTTGTTTTGTTTTGTTTTGTTTTGATCTTTTTGAGACAGGGTCTCCCTGTAGCCCCAGCTGTCCTGGAACTCACTATGTAAACCAGGCTGGCCTTGAACTCACAGAGATCTGCCTGCCTCTGCCTCCTGAGTGCTGGGATTAAAGGTGTGCACCATCACTGCCAGCTAATTCACCATAACTGAAGCATGGGATCAGTCTAAGTTTTTTTTCCACAGATAACTGGATAAATATAATGGTGCATGTGTGTATAATGGAATATTATTCAATCATGAAAGGAACACCTGCCATTTGCTAACAACCTGAGTGAAACTAGAGGACATAAGTGAAATAAGCCCGAAGCAGAAAGATAAATGCTGTGTATTATCATTTATATGTAAAAGCTAAAACATGGGTTTCATGGAAGTGCAGGATAAAATAGGGGTTACCAGAACCTAAAAGGGGTGTTGAGGAAAGATTAGACAGATGGGCTTAGGGCTGCAATTGCAATTATGTTTGATAGCCCTGTAGAATAGCTATGAATGACAACCTCATGTGTTTTTCTGTTTTACTTGTAGGTGGTGTGTGTGTGCAAGTGTGTGCACATGTGTGCACTTATGTGCAGGTGTGTGCACATGTGGAGGGCAGAGGTTGATGTGGGGTCTTCTTCCATTGCTCTACACTATATTTTTTGAGATAGTCTCTCAGTGAACCTAGAGTTCACTGTTTGGCTAGGCTGGCTGGCCAGGGAGCCCCTAGGATCCACCTGTCTCTGCCTCCCCTGAACTGGGGCTATATGTGCAGGTTGCTGCACCCTGCTTTTACATGGGTGCTAGGGACTGAACTCAGGGCATCATGCCTACATAGCAAGCACTTTGTCCACTAAGCCAGCTCCCCAGCCCCAATTGTATTTTTCATAATAGTTAGTAAAGAGGGTTTTGAATATTCCCAGCAAAAGGAAATGATAAATGTCCGGGGTAATAGATATGTCAGTCTGATTGAATCATTTTGTATGTGTGTACTGAAATGTCACACTGTGCCCCATAAATATGACAGTGACTATGTGTCAAAATTATATATGGGTGTTTTCGAGATATCCCAGACTGGCCTAGAACTCAGGTGATCCACTTGAACTTCCTGAATGCTAGGAATACACACATACACACAGACACACACACACACACACACACATTTCAGTGGTGCGGTTGTTGCTTACTAAGAATGTGCAAGATCCTGATTTCATTTTCTGATAACCTGCCCCCGCCAGAAGTCAGCCTTAGGGTTTCCTACATCACTAAAGGAAACACATTTCTCATTTTAATTTTGCAAATGTGGACATTAGTACCTCTTCTTATTAAAGGCATAAAGAAGTACACAGTGTGTTCAGTTCCTCAGCATCCTCTCATTTAATTATGTGTTCTCAGAGAGCCCTGTACCAGAGAGCCCTGCGCAGTGGAAAATGTGAAACTCTGAGTTAGTGAAAAGCTCAGAGTTCTCCGTGGAAATCCAAGTTGTATAGCTTTCCAGAAAAAAACCTTGGCATTATACAGTGATTATCACAGCCTTTTAAGAGCAAAAGAGACTTAGACAGCCTCTCTGTTGTATTCATGCTGCTAGGCACGGTGCCTTCTACACAATGGGCGTTTTGTTACGTGGTAACTGACTGCCCAGCTTACTAGAAAGAACTTACAAAAACATACTTGGGGTGGCTCAGCAGCAAAGAGTACATACTGCTCCTGCAGAAAACTGGAAGTTCAGTGCTCACCACTCGTATCAGCTGGCTCACTGCCCATGCAGGCAAAACATAAAAATAAGTAAAATCTTAAAAACTTTATCACTAAGACTTTGAAAAGTACTGAGAAATTTCTTAGAATAAAACCAATGCTAGATTTAAAAAAAAAAGTGTGTGTGTGTGTGTGTGTGTGTGTGTGTGTGTGTGTGTGAGATACGTACGCACATATGCAAGCACATGATGTGCCACACGTTAGAGGACAGCTTGTGGAATTCTCTCCTACCATGTGGGTTCTGGGGATTGAATTTAGGTCCTCAGGCAAGGCAGCAGGTACCCTTATCCATTAATCCATTTTACCAGCCCCAGATTTTTTTATTATTATTGAAACATCGCCCCTCTCATTTGGCATGTGGGACAGTTTTCTTTTCATTTTGACAGGATTCAACTGGAAGCTTTGTACTTCCCTTCCGTCAAGTAATGTATGCTCCATACCCCACCACACACATAGATGTGGACGTCAATACTGTAAAGCAGATGCCGCCCTGTCATGAACATATTTACAATCAGCGCAGATACATGAGATCAGAGCTGACAGCCTTCTGGAGGGCCACTTCAGAAGAGGACATGGCTCAGGACACCATCATCTACACAGACGAAAGCTTCACTCCTGATCTGTATGTGACATTCGGCCCTAGGTGTCAATGTTAACCAATATGAAACTTTGTCTCTTATCAGTAAAGACAAAACAAGTTGCATTTAATTTTTTTATCTTCATTTTTTTTCTTAATATTTCATTTTTTTAAATATTTCCCCTAAAATAGGTTAAGATTAGCCCTTAAATACTTAACAAATACTGGCTGGACGTGGTGGCGCACACCTTTAACCTCACCACTGGGGAAGCAGAGGCAGACAGATCTCTGTAAGATCAAAGCCAACTGGGGCTACACAGAGACCCTGTCTCAAAAAAAAAACAAGGGTCTGGAGAGATGGCTCTTCTGACCCCTGGGCACTGCACAACATGGGTGCTCTTGCGTGCATGCAGGCAGTATACTCATACACATACAAATAATAAATTTTTAAAAAGACTCATGTTACTATTAGCGTGTTTTGAACAATATTGACTTTTAATTTTCAGAGGTTTTGGTTTTTGTTTGATTTTTGTGGTGCTGAAGTTCAGACCAAGGGATTTACACACGTTGAGCAACTGACCTACCACTGAGCCACATCCCAATATTTTTAATTTTAACCTTTTAAAATAAGTTCAGTCACTAGAAATAGCTTTTTTTTTGAGACAAGGCCTCCCTATAGCCCCAGCTGACCTGGAACTCACTATGTAGACCAGGCTGGCCTCTGCCTCTCAGTGATCTAGACTGTTCTGTCTTGCTTTTCATTTATCTTACCTTAATAAATGTTACCTTTTCCCTCTGACCTGAAGACAATAGCCTAGGGAAGATGAAGGGGGAAATGAAAGGGGTTAGGTGTGAGAGGAAGCAGGAGGAAAGGAGGGTTAGGTGTGAGAAGAAGCAGGAGGAAGGGGAGGGTTAGGTGTGAGAGGAAGCAGGAGGAAGGGGAGAGTTAGGTGTGAGAGGAAGCAGGAGGAAGGGGAGAGTTAGGTGTGAGAGGAAGCAGGAGGAAGGGAGGGTTAGGTGTGAGAGGAAGCAGGAGGAAGGGAGGGTTAGGTGTGAGAGGAAGCAGGAGGAAGGGGAGAGTTAGGTGTGAGAGGAAGCAGGAGGAAGGGAGGGTTAGGTGTGAGAGGAAGCAGGAGGAAGGGGAAAGGGGGGATTAGGTGTGAGAGGAAACGGTACATGCTGTGTCCTAGGTGCTGTGCTGACTCTGATTAGTGCAGCTGGACATGTCTGGGCTTTGCTCTGATCACTGCCAATACAGTCATACTGCTGACGTAGTCATGCTTTCTTGTTCACTTGTTCACATTACTGCATGTGGCGAGTCTTGGTGTAAACCTAGAGGTCCTGATGTTGCCCTTATCATCTAGGTTTATTCCTCAATCCCACTTACATGTTTCTTAGCATTTACCGTTGATTGCTTTTGGCCTCTGGTGATAGTGTTGGTGTGCTTATTTTTATTGCTGGTTTGATTTTTGAGATAGAAAAGATTGGTGATTTTCTGTCTTAATTACGTAAGACTCCTAACTTCACTTTGTAAGGTGAGAGTTCTGAAGCAGATTGATAGATACGTACATACCTTTCCTCGGTATATTCTGCTTATACTCCTTAGAAAAAATAATTGCCTGTGGCCTGACAGATGCCACTAATGTAGCTTTGAGTTAAAATGAGTGTGTGTGTGCGTTTTGTGTATGTGCTGAATATGAACCCAGGGCCTCATGCAAACGAAGTATGCATTCTACTACTAAACTATACCCCCAGCCCCTGAATATATATTTTCTCTCCATACACATACAAATATACACATCTATATTCTTACATATCTGTTTTAAAAAGTTTGAAGTATTGACTGGAGTGAGAGGTTGTGGAAAGTAAACTTACATAGTCATTTCAACATTTGGACTTTTTTCTTTTCTTCATAGGAATATTTTCCAAGATGTCTTGCACAGAGATACTCTAGTGAAAGCTTTCCTGGATCAGGTAAGCAAGACACCAGCCATTGCCAGAGTAAATGGCATGATATGCTTTCTTTTAAAATATGTCCCACAATTCTGGAGGCAGAGGCAGGCGGATCTCTGTGAGTTCAAGGCCAGCCTGGTCTACATAGTGAGTTCTAGGCCAGCTGGGGCTACACAGAGACCCTGTCTCAAAAAAGACCAAAAAATAAAAATCAAAATAAACTATTTCTCACAGTGCCTATATAATACATACAAAATACTGTAGAATTAAGTCCTGATCTTTGGAAAGTGCGTAAGAGCCTTTCTGAAGTCTCCAAGTGAGTTTTCCTCTTGAATTGTTAATGGGGAACAGCCTGCATAGCAACAGCATTTCCCCTGCTGGTAGCCACTTCAGGTTCTGCCCTGCATCTCAAGAACTGTTTTATTTGAAGAAGAGGAGTATTCATTATTTGCTTTGATTGAACAGAAAATATTTTTTTTAATTACTATACTGCTCTTTAAATTATGGCATCTTTAGTGTCTCATTTTTTAAGATATCTACTCAATTACACATTCAAAGAAGATGGTAGATTATATGGGACTTATTTCTTAATGTAACCAGAGCTTTGCCGTAATATCATTCTGGGAATCCTGCCAAGATTCTAAGTCATAGATGTAGCTTCAAAATAATGTGATCCTCATGTTACCTAGAAATGTTGGATCCTCATCTGTGTGGTCTGTGACATCACAGAATTAGAGAACAGTCCATAGTCATGTAATTCCATGTTTCTCAAGATGAGATAAAATCCCTTTCATTCTCCACCCCCACATACATAAACACAACATGAAATAATTAACATGATGAGTTTTTCATAGTTAAAATAAGCAATGACTTTTGATGGAGCGTGCAAAAATCTGAATGCATTTTTCAAAATAAAATAGAAAATCTCAAAAACTTTCAAGAGTTTCCAAATCTGTGCCATGACCACATTCCTGCCCTTTGGGAAGCCAGGGAAGTGGCTCTACTGTCTGTTGATCCTGCCAGCACTGTCAAGAAAGCATGCTGCATATAAAGACGCAGAGAACTGCGTACTGACAGGCTCATTTCCTGCAGGTCTTTCATCTGAAACCTGGTTTATCTCTCAGGAGTACTTTTCTTGCACAGTTTCTACTTGTTCTTCACAGAAAAGCCTTGACACTAATAAAATATATAGAAGATGATACGTGAGTAAAACTCCATCAAGGAAAACCTTTGTACGTTATAAGTTTTTGTTGTCCCTTTGGACATTTTCTGTATTATGATGTTTGGTTTGTTTTCTGTTTTTCATTATTTATAGGCAGAAGGGGAAAAAGCCCTTTAAGTCTCTTCGGAACCTGAAGATTGATCTTGATTTAACAGCAGAGGGCGATCTTAACATAATAATGGCTCTAGCTGAGAAAATTAAGCCAGGCCTACACTCTTTCATCTTTGGGAGACCTTTCTACACTAGTGTTCAAGAACGAGATGTTCTGATGACTTTTTAAAAGTGTGATTTGTTACGACTTTCTCATCTCAGTCATGGTCGCTCCTAAAGTAGCTCAATGACGTGGAAGTCTCATCCCCAGAGTCCTGCTCAGCAACTGCAGTGAAAGCTAGGTACATTACACCTGTCACAGCGTCTCTAAGGGGATACCAGCTACATTGTCAAACTGAATGTCTGTTTTTCTAGATGTATTCTTTTAGGGACTTAAGTTTACAATTATAGTAAATACTGTTACTGTCTTTTAAAGATATGCTAGGATATAAACTTGACCTAACAGCTGTTTTTGAAATTTATCGTGGTTTACATGTATCAAAGTAAAACTTAGTAGCTTTTACAGATCCATGTGGTGTGTAGGATTACATTTTTGCAATCAACTGAAACTTAGAGTGTTTAAGTTTTCAATTCTACAGAAAGGAACTACAAATTAGTTTTTGGAAGAAGACATTGATCCAGAGGATTGTTAGCTCAAGTTGCCAGATCTTGCTTAGTCCTTTGGATTCGGTCTGTATAGACATGCTGAATGGTTGTGTGTGGTCCCACTTATGGTGAAACACAGTGTGCTATTTGTTTCTTGTTGTTAATATCCCATATATATATAAAATAAAATAAACCTCTGTCCAAGAAAATACAGAGAATGGCATAGTGGCATTTTGTTTTAGTAGTTGTTACCAACTTTTTTTTTTTTCAGTCTTTTTGAAACAGGGTCTCCCTGTAACCCCAGCTGACCTGGAACTTGCTATGTAGACCAGGCTGGCCTCGAACTCACAGAGATCCGCCTGTTACCAACTTTTAAAAATTAATTTTCATTATTTTTGAGCCAAGTTAAAATGTGCACCTCTGTGCCTTTCCCCCCCCCCCTTTGAAATAAGAATTTCTTGGAAGAGGGTCAGGGTGAAGGTCATTTCCGTCTTGTCTTGCAGAATCTGTCACGTACCTGCTTTAGCGGTCATTAGAGAAAACCTGAATTACTAAGATCTTTTTTAAAGATCAGAAAATAGTTTCTTGTCTTCTTCCTCATATTTCTGCCCATATTTTTGAGGTGGTTGCCATGTTCCATGCATCCCATAAAGACAGCAAGAGAAATTTTACTGAAGTAAATTTTACTAGGTGCTACTTTGGCAGAACTCAGTGGTCTGTTTCTTTTGTTCCCTTCGTGTTTGGACCATGGCTGGCTGTGAAGTAACTGATCCATGTAGCCTGTGCTAGAGCAGTGTTGGTGCTGGAGTGTACACAAACTCAAATGTTTTCACTTAATACTGTGGACTTAACGTGAAAGGGAAAATATATTTAGTGTTTTAAAAAGGGATACAGTGAGCCTTTTCCCTCACCAAATTTAGCAAGTAAAACATGTTGTATTCTGAAAGATCATAGGAGCTTTGACATTACACATCAGAAAAAATGTAGATATCGTAATTTCTGAACACACTGAACAAGATGATTTATGAGCTGCAAGTGACTTAATCGTGATAGAATGTGTAGATTCTACCTTTAGTGTCCTTTACTCGATGCTTTTACCTACTAGAGTCTTATCTAAGTGCTAATTATTTTCTTTGATGTTTTACTGTATTGTTATATAGACTGTAAGTTGTACAGTGAAGTAAGTTATTAAAGCATGTGTGAACACTGTTATGTATCTTTTCTCCTAGATGGAGAATTTTGAATAAAAATGTCTTTAAACTTTTGTCTGTTTTAGTTACACAGGAAAAATACTGCTGAGCAATTGGAAGAGTGATTACCACTCTGTGCAGCTGACAATCATCGAATCTAAACTGATTTTTTTTATTTTCTTTTTTAAAAAAAAAAATTTTAAAGGTTCAGTGTAATGCTGGAATCTTAAGTTTTTTAAAAATAATAAAACTTCATCATGGTGCATACCTATTATCCAAGCACTTGAGAGGTAGAGACAGGAGGATCAGGAGTTCAAGAAAAATCTCAGCTACATAGTAAGTCCAAGACCAGCCAAAGCTACATGAGACCTGGTCTCAAAAAAATGTATTCTTTAAAAAGTTTCCTACTGAGTAGGGGAGAGTTAGCTCAGTGGGTGAAGGCACTTGCCACCAAGCTTGATGACCTGAGTTCAGTCCCAGGACCCACGTGGTAAGGAGAGTCCTGCAAGTTCTCCTCTCCATACATTTGATGTGGCATTTGTATACACGCACACACATACACTATTTCTTGCTTTCCTGTTACAGTGATATTAATATAATCTAAACTGATGTCATTCTTTCTAAGAATTGGTACAGATGTCCAGTGTAAAATACAAGAGCTGTAAGTGCTTTAATTTGGAAAGTAAAAAATAGGGTTGACATTTTCACTCCAACGAACAACTTCATTCATTAGTAGATTAGTTGAGTTGAAAGATTTATTGCATCACTGAGATTCTCAAAGAAGAGGGCCAGGAAGGTAGAGCAGTGATAGAGTAGTGCTCACAGCATACTTAAGGTCCTGGCTTCAATCCCCAGCACTGTGAAAAATAAAACAATAACAAGAAAATTCTCTAAGTAGAAAACAAAACTTGATATAAAAATACTGCAAGTTAAACAGTTTTATGTAACTGACTTTGATATAAAATTGCACAAATTGATAATTATCTAATCTGCAGAATACAGTTTAGTAAAGACTGCCCTCCGTTAACACCTCCAGCCTTAGACTATCTGTCTGCCATCACCATAACCCTATCATTTTAGGTGGGAGAGAACTAAAGCTTGAAGTACAGTTCACAGCCTGTGGTCACACAGCCCATGGTCAGGTCAGATTCCAACTCCACATTAGAGTGATTTCTGTGCAGCAACAGCACCTAGCACAGTCCTTGCTGGTGAGGCGTCAACACTGCTGAAGTGAAGGGCAGTGAGGAAAACAAATGTGTGTTTTCCAACCTCACTGAGGCGCTTTTAATTACTGTTTAATCATAAGATTTCAACTGTATATTAACATGCAGTGGTTTTTTTAAATTTATTTTTATTTTATGTGTATGAGTGTTAATGCCTGCATATATGTACATGCACCCATGTCATGCAGTCCCTCGGAATTACAGAACAGAGCTTTGGATTCCTAGTCTAAGAATGATCAGAGCCTGATCCTATCCCTTACATCAAGCTTCTAGTCACTCAACCAGGAAAACACTTTTATTTATGTATTTATTTTTACTTTATGTGTATGAGTGGTTTTGCATATATAAGTGCACCTGTGTGTACACAATGAGGGTATCAGTCCCTGGAACTGGAGTTACAGATGGTTGTTAGCCTCCATATGGGTGCTGGGAATGGAACTTGGGTGCTCTGAAAGAACAGCCAGTGCTCTTAACCACTGAGCCATCTCTCCAGCCCAAACATGCAGTGATTTTAAACACTAATTCGGTGTGATGTTTCTGTACATGAATATGCATGTACTTGTCTACCCAGCCTCCTTTTATTCACCTTCCCCACACTCTTTCCAACTTTTGTTAATCACTGTTTAACACTGAGGAAAACCTCTGTTTGCACATATGAGAGAAAGTATTCAGTGCTTGTCTTCCTGTGTCTGGCTTATTTCATTCACATAATCGCCACCTCAGTTCCAGCCATTTCACTGCAAATGACGGGATTTCATTCTGCAGTATAGACTGTATCTTCTTTTTTCATCTCCTGATAGGCACCAAAGCTGATTTCTAGGAGGACTGCCTATATAGATTTCTTAGCTTTTGTGAATAGTGCCGCAATAAATATGGCATGCGGGTATCTCTATGGCATAATTTCATTTCTTTTGACTATATGCCCAGAAATGGGATAGCTGGGTCACTTGTCAAATCCATTTAGTTGTAGGGTATGCGTGTGTGTGCACATGGGGCTGTGCCTGTGTATATATGTGTTCCTGTGTATGGGCACAAATGTGTGCAGGTGTGCATGGACGTGTGTGCGCACGTGTTAAGACCAGAGGTTGATGTTGGGTATCTTCCTCGATTGCTCTCCACTATTTGCTGAGTGTCTCTTGCTGAGCCTGGAGCTCACTGATTCAGCTAGTTGAGCCACCTTGTTCCAAGGATCCTCTCTTCACCTTTCAAACAGTAGGACTACAGGGACACTCCTCACCCAGCTTTGTTATGTGGCTGCTGGGATTTGAACTCGTCCTTGTGCTTGCACGGCAGGGACTTTACCCAGAGACATTGCCACAATTCAATTTTGTTGTTTTGTTTGCTTTAGTTTTTTTAAGGAAGCTCTATACTGTTCTCCATAATAGCCCTGCTAATTTACGTCCTGTTAGTCAACTTTCCATCACTGTAACAAAACACCTGAGAAAAAGTAACTTATAGAAGGAAATATTCATCTTGGCTCATGGTTTCTGAGACTCTAACCCATGATCATTTATTTGGTTTGTTGTTTCTGAACCTGTGGTGAGGCAGAGAACATCGTAGTTGGGGAATACACAGAGGAATAAGACAGCCTACCCCATGACAGCCAGAGTGGAGAGAGAGAGAGAGAGAGAGAGAGAGAGACAGAGAGAGACAGAGACAGAGAGAGACAGAGAGACAGAGAGAGAGACAGACAGAGAGAGAGAGACAGAGACAGAAAGGCTGAGGACAAAACACACTGCCAACACTTTGCCCTCCAGTGACCTGCGTCCTCCAGCTAGGTCCCACTTCCTAAACTTCCACTCCCCTAGCACCCCATTATGAACACATTAATGGGGTTATCTGTTCATGAAGTCAGACAATAAGAGCCCTTTTGTTCCAGTAGCCTCCCAAAGGCCTCCCTTCTGAACACTGCTGTGATGGGGATCAAGTCTCCAGAAGATACGTGAGCTTTACAGAGCAAAACCATAATGCATTCCCACCAATAATGAATAGCATTTTTGTTTTGTTTTTATATAATAACCATTATAAGTGGGAGGTGGGGTGAAATTTGCATTTCTCTCATGGCTGATGATACTGGGCTTTGTAAAATTTTGTGTTTTGGTCATTTATATTTTTTCTTTTGAGATATATCTATTTGGATCATGTGCCCACTGTAAAAATTTCATTACTGTGGGGTTTTAATAAGTTCCTGAGAGTCTTTATATATTATGATTTTAACTCTCTACAATAAACTCATTATGTAGGGTTTCTCTACACTGTTGATTGTTTCCTTTGCTGGACAAAAGTTATTTAGTGTAATATGATTCCATTTGTCAAGTTTTGCTTTTGTTTCCTGTGTTTTGGGATTCTAGCCAGAAAGTCATTGCCTGTGCTGATGTCTTGAAGTACTTTTCTTACATTTTCCAGGCTGGCCTTGAACTCACAGAGATCTGCCTGCCTCTGCCTCCTGAGTGCTAGGATTAAAGGCATGCACCACCACACCCCACTTTACATTTTCTTTTAGTAGTTTAATAGTTTCAGTTCTTAATTTATGTCTTTAATCCATTTTTGGTTGATTTTTATATAAAGTGAGACACGGGTCAAACTACAGTTTCCTGCCTATGAATCTACTTTCCTCAATGTCACTAAAGGAATGGTTTGTTTTTCCAGTGTTTGTTTGGGGCCCTTTTGTTGAGAATCACTTAGCTGTAGATACATGGGTTTGTTTCTGGGATCTATACTTTATTCCATTAGTCTTTGTGTCTGTTTTTATGCCAGTATCATACTGTTTTGGTTAGCATAGCTCTGCAGTATATATTTTTTAATTTTTTAAAAATTTTATGTGTAGGAGTGTATTGCCTGCATGTATTAAGTGCGTCTGTGTTGTACAGTGCCCACAGAGGACAGGAAAGGGCATTGGATACCCTGGAATTGGAGTTAGAGATGGTTGTTAGCCACCATGTGGGTGCTAGGATTTGAACCCAGGTCTTCTGCAAGAACAGTCAGTCTCTTGACCACTGAGCAATCTCTCCAGCCCCTCTGTAGTATATCTTGAAATCAGGTATTATGATACCTCCAGTTTGGATTTTTTTGTTTTTCCTCAAGATTATTCTAACTCTTCAGGAGCTTCTGTGCATCAGTATGAATGTTGGGATTGTTTGTGGGAATGGCTTTCTGGGAAAGACGTTTTGTAACAAGCCTTTACAAACTGAAATTTTACATGACCTTGTAAACCAAGTTAATCATGTTTTGAGAACATTTAGAACTATATACTCCTAAGAAAAACAATGTGATCAGTCCTCCAGTGATTTGGATTCCTGATGTAACTAACTCTTAGAAACTAAGCTGAACACATAGCTTTAATATTGAATCACATTCACTATTAGTGACTCAGTTACGCCCCGGCTCAGAACAGTGTGTGTGCATGGCATGTGACAGTGATGACATTGAAAACCAGTGACTTTGGAAACAGCGTGTCCCCCACAAATGTTGCAAGCAACATGGGGCCTAAGTTGGTGACGTCTGTCTGGCTCTGTGTGCTCTTCTGAGTCAGTAGGACCAGAAAAACTGCAACCTCCTTGTAAAACTATTGTCAAAGATTGTTCATACCATGCTTGATAGGCTGCTCTGTAACAATGAGAGGAGCCCACCTGTAACTCCAGGATCAGAAAGCAGGATCCCCAGAGCAAGTGTCTAACCAGACTAGGCTCACTGGAAATTTCTGGGTTTAATGAATAAGGTAGACAGCAACTGTGGAAGACTCCCAATATCAACACACACCATATGTTAACACATTTGAACACACATACACATGTATGCACACCACTCATGAGTGAAAAGGAAAAGAAAATTCAATTGGAAATTATCAGAGT